GCGCCGGGACCGGTTTGGCTCAGTGGTAGAGCGTTGGCCTGCGGACTGAAGGGTCCCGGGTTCAATTCTGGTCAAGGGCATGTATCGTGGCTGCGGGCACATCCCCAGTAGGGGGTATGCAAGAGGCAGCTAATCGATGATTCTCTCTCATCGATGTTTCTGGCTCTCTATCCCTCTCTCCTCCTCTCTGTGGAAAATCAATAAAATATATTTAAAAAAAATAAAATAAAATAAAGAATTTGCTATTTTAGATTTTTACAGATGAGAAAAACACAATCCAAGAGTCTGTGACCAGGGAGGAATGAATACTGACCCCAATCCTAAGATTATTTTCATCCCTACATGTTTTCCACCCTAACTGGTAATCAACACCTCTCCGATTTCTTCTCTAAAGAGCTAAACACACCTGTCATTCATGTTGAGGTCAAAACAACAACATGGTACAAACACCTCCTAGGTTGATGGGGGAAGGGCACTGACCTGAGTATTTGTATTAATTCTCTTAATTAATTTGCTGATAAAGTCCAACCCTGAGCTTGCCAGGCCTGCCATATAAGGTACCCTGACTCAGTGGCTTAAACAACAGATTTTTAGTCTCACAGTTCTATAGAGGCTGGAAGTCCAAGATCAATGTGCCAGCAAGGTTGGTTCCTCCTTAGGGCTGAGGGAGCCTCTGCTCCAGGCCTCTTTCCCTGGGTGTGGATGACTGCCTTCATGTTCACAGGGGCTCTCCCCGCATCTTACATGTCCCCTCTGTGTGTATCCCTATGTCCTCCTTTGCACAAGGACACTGTCATATTAGGTTAGGTTGGCCCTAATGACTTCACTCTAACTTGGGTACCTCTGTAAAGACACAATCTGCAAAGAAGGCCACCTTCTGAGTAATAGAGGGTAGAACTACAACATATGTATTTGGTGGGAGGGGACTCAATTCAACCCATAACAGTTAATTTATTATTACTATAACATTGTGATTTTAGTGTGTAGTCTACCTTTCAAGTTCATTGTGCTATTTTAAGCTCTTTGGTAAAAATTCAGTTGATGGCTAAGAGGTGAATATTATGATCTCCCTTTCCAAATGAGGTAACTGTGGCATAAAGAGATGAAGTAACTTTCTCAAAAAGCTGAACAGCTAGTAAATGATAGATTTAGAAAATGAGACCAGTCCAGCTGCCTCAGTCCATGCATTTAAGCATCAGCCTGTCCTTCCTGTGTGAGCAAAGCTGAGTCCTTTCTCTCTGGGATCTCACAGTCCAGTCCTTGGTCTTTCAAATGGCTGGGTTCATGCAAGGTGAAGGAGATCCACTGTGAGCAAGGGGCTAGGGAAGGCTTCCCAGGGAGGCAATATCTTAGCTGAGTCTTAAATGAAAAACTAAGTGTTCTGGAGAAAGAATGTGTGTGTGCAGCAATAACACATTGGAACACAAGTGATATGGGGCCAGGAGGCTGGAGTGGGAGCACATAGGGCAGGTACCAGAGCACCTTGGCCTTGTAAGCCAGGCAAAAGGTCTGGGCTCCACCCCACAGGCAATGGGGAACAACCAAAGAGGGTACAGCAGGGGAGTGATGTGGCCAATTTCTCTGGTTAGAACTAGCTCTCCTGTGGGAGATGGTGGGTACACAGTTTGGAGGAGAAGAGCTTGACTACATGGAAAGCTAACAATGGGTCAGTGCTGAGGGGTAGGACTGGCCCGGTGTCAGCCCTGTAGGTGTACGGGTCACTTAATGCTTCACCATCAAGGACTAAACAACACAGTCCAGTCACGTTTACCTACCAGTCTCTGTGCACAAATGAAAGAGAGGTGGCTAGTCCTTTAGAATTGTTTTAGAATTGTGACTGATGATCTTTCCTTTCCCCCTTCTCAGAAATACCTTAGAACTCACAAGAAGCCTTACCCCTAACACTCTGATCTTAATCCCAGGGCCCTCTACTCTCCCATATACTAAATACTAGGGTGCACTAAACATCATGCTAGATGATGATAATCTAGTATCTTAATCATACCTCTTGCCTGAGCCTCTCCCTTGAACTATAAACCCAAATATCCAACTGCCTACTTGGACCCTCACCTTCCAATTTACTGTGAATACAGCTGACTCCTGATCTTTTCGCAAATCTCTTCTATCTTTTTCTTTTTTAAATATTTTTTTATTGATTTCAAAGAGGAAGAAATTATCTAATAAAAGAAAGCGTTTGAAAATTAAAAAAAAAAAGAGAAAGAAAGGAAGAGGGGGAGAGGGAGAAGAGAGAGAAAAATCAATGTTGAGAATCATTGGCTGGCTGCCTCCTACACACTCCCCTCTGGGGATCTGGGAATTGAACCTGCAACCCAAGCATATGCCTTGACCGGGAATCAAACCATGACCACCTTGTTCATAGGAATTGGATGCTCAATCACTGAGCCATGCTGGCTGAGCAAACCTATTCTATCTTAAATCATCTAATTAAATGTCAATTCTTCCAGGTGTCCAGGCTTCACATCTGCACATCCCTTCTATCACATTATTTTTGTCCCATGCATCAGTAAGTCCTGTTGACTACCTTTTCTGACCAGAATCTAACCATTTCTAACCACCGTCACTGCCAAGACTCTGTTCTGAGCCACTGTGCCCACCTACTTAGATTTTGTCAACAGCCTCCTACCTGGTCAGACAGCTTCTAACCTTGCTCTCTCTTATCCTTTGTTTTCACAACAGCCAGATAAACCCTTTAAAATATAAATGGGATCTCCACTGTGTTACTCACAAACTCAGGTGCTCTCCATCTCACTCAGGAAGGAATGTGAAGTTCCTGCAGTGGTCTGCAGGGCCCTACCAGGCTGACACTGCCTCCCACACTATCTCCGTTGCCTCCTGTGCTGGCCTTTCTGGCCATTTTATTGCTCTTTGAACACAGGAGACAAGCTTCTGCTCTGAGCCTTCACATGTGCTTAAATTTCTCTGTAGAAAGTAATTTCCTAAGATACCCACATGATCAACTTTCTCACTCCTTCAAGTGTCTGCTCTAAAGTCAACTCACAGCCATGCCTTTCTTGAAATGGTCCCATTGAAAATAGCAGCCGCTCTCACTACCTCTTGCTCCTTCACCCCTTCCCTGTTGACTTAAAAAATAAATAAAACAAAATCCTCCTTTTAAAATGTGGAATACTCATTTTTCTCTTTTGATATATTTTCCCTCTCTCTGAGCAGAAATAGTTGCAGAACCACATTAGCTTAGCCTTAGCCCATAAAAATGTTATTAGCTAACATGCCCTTTTGTATATTTTCCTCTAAATTGCCTAACATTCTACCCGTTTTGTTATTGTAATCCTTGCTAGCAATGGCTGGCTTATAACTGACACTCAGTATTTGTTATTGACAGATCTAAGGTCACACTCCAGCCCTGCTACTGGTCAGCTGTGTGATATTGAGAGCATGATAACCTTCTGAGCGCCAGTTTCCTTCTCTCTGGCTCAAAACAACAACAAAACAAACAAATTAAACAGGGCAAATGGTATTGCTCTCGCTGTGTTGCCGTGCAGATGAACTGAAATAGTGGATGCCAGTGCACATCCTGGAACATCAAAAAGCGCAAACTATATGCCCCCTTTTTTTCCTACAACCACACCAACCTATTTATTCAGCCTCACATTTTTCCATGAAGGAGGAGCTTTACAAAGGTTGCTAAAACGCAAGGTGTGTGTTGGAGGGGAATAAGGAGAATAGGGGAGAAGGGGATTTGGAGGAGGGAAGATGAAAGCAGATTGCCCTGGCTCACTCTTTTCCAAAGCTGTCCTTGCTCACTCTTTTCCAAAGCTCGCTGGTTGCACTGGAGCATAGAGCACTAGTTAAGTATACAATTTTACCTATTATATTCCCAAAAATTCTAGTTTAGCACTTCTTAGTTGGGATTCAAGAATCTGTATTTTAACAACTCCACCAGGTGATTCCCATCATGATAGAAGTTTGGGAAACACTGCACCAGAGTGATGGGCCACAGAGAGAAGGAGCCCCAAGCCCTGGGACACAGGGGCAGCACTGAAAGGGTCCTGTCTCCATTTGAAGCCAAGCCTCTGAGGGAAGATGCATGATTCACAGCAGAAAACAGCTTCATTCCAAATGCATGATAAAGAGGATATGGAAGCAAAACACATCTCAGCACTACCCACCCCCATCCCGGAAAGAAACTGATTTATTGAAGAGAGGAATAGAAGAGTTGGAAAACTGAAGAAAGAAAAAGCAAGATGTGGCCTATCAGGTGGAGAAAGAATTCTCCAACTATGCAAGCTGCTCACCGCAGGGAAGAAGTGATTTCCACCTGGCTTTGTGCTGGGGGCACTTTCCCATAGAAAGCACCTTGGATAATCTCACAAACTAGTAACGTGCTAGTCCTCACTTAACTTTATTAATTCACTTAACTTTAAACCAAACAACCTACTTGTAAACAACACATTTCATTGTAGGCTAATGGATAGAAACCAGGGATTAGTTATATGAAAAGACCTTTAATGAAAACTGCCCCCATTCCTACTTGAGCAGCAGGAGGATCCACTCCCTTGCCTGTGGCCACACAACGAATAAGGAGCAAAGTGCACTGAAAAGCCACAGGCAGGGCAGCCCTGCCTCCTGCCCTCTCTCCTCTGCTCAGGGCGCCCATTCACCACCAGGAGGAGACACAGATCACAAGGGCAAACACTAACAGAGAAGCCAGCAGGCTCCTAGATGAGCTGGGGGACTAGTTAGAAACCTCTCTAGCGGGATGCGCGCTGGGGTCCCTCAGGCCACCGTCCCCGAGAACTCTTGTCCCCTTACCCTCCACCCTCCGAGGGGCCACAGGACACAGTACAACCTGCCTCCATCCCACTTTCCCGGGAGCTAGATGAGCAGGGGCGGTGCTGCACTAAACCAGGAGGTGTCAGCTTCTAGGACCGCCTTTCCCCGGGGCTGGCTAGCTCCGTTGGGAGTGACTAGACCCGGTGAGACTGACTTAGAGAAGCCAACAACCGAGCCCCAAGTCTTACCGCGTCCATGGCTTTCCTCCGAGGCAGAGTCTGGGACACAAACCCAGCTTCCCAGAGCTGGATCCTGGGGCCGAGTGAACCTTTTGTGGCGCCTGCGCCCGCTAGGGAGCAATCGCTTTCCCGGGACACACCTGAGCCCAGGCTGCGCACCTGCCCCACCTGGGCGGCGGCTCCTCCCTCGCCCGGGGCTGGGGCAGGAGCAATTCCTTCACTGGCTGGGCAATCCATGGCCCAGCTTCCCAAGACCAGGCGCCTGCAGGGGGAAGAGGGAGAGAGGGAGACCCTCCTGTCCTGCCCTGGTGGGCAAGAGGCTCTCTCCCCACTGTTCCCCAGCAGGCACTCTCCAGGGAGTTTACTGAGCTGAGGCGGGGGAGTCAGTGCAGAAGGGGGGCTGCAGGCTCTTGTTAGTACATAACACTCAGCTGGACAATGTAATCTCCATCAGTGACAGCCTTGGCCCATCCCCGCCCATTGGGAGGACTATAAAGGGGGGGCATAGCGTGCCTAAACCATAAGGCGGTTTCCTGGAGGCCAGAGGGGGAGTGGCTATCATGGAGCATCTGTTTTAGGCCAGGTGCTTTTTAAGCATTAGGGTACATTGTCATACTTCCATCTGATTGTTGTCATACTTCGTGTGACCGTAGCCCTGGGAAGGGCTATTATCCCCATTTAAAAGATAAGGGAATTGAGCCTCAGAGAGACCTTATAACCTGCCTCTGGTCACACAGGTAAAAGATAGAAGCTTCAGGATTTGAACCCAGGTCTGGCTGACTCTAAAGTGCTTTTGCTTTTGTTTGTTCTGACTGGTGCTCGAAACCCAACCCTCAGCTCCCAGTTCTCCCAGAGCTCACCCTGGTCCTGGGGTTTGGGAGCTGGTGCAGTGGGGAACCAGTGCTGTGCCTACTGCCTGCCAAAAGCTGCCATCCCCCTCACTGTGGGACTTTTCATATTTTGTTAGGGCCACGCTGCTGCCAAAGCTTCCCCTGCCCTGTGCAGGGGCGAGGAGGTGGTGGCAGGCGAGGACAGCCCACCTGTATGCCCATTTCCTCTAACAGCTGCTCCCCAGACCTGCATCACCACAGCTGCCAAAGAATCTATTAAGAATACAGGCTTCAACACGAGTTAGTTCTGATTTAGGGTCTGGGAATCTGGGGATTTAGCTTTTTAGGTCAGTGTGTTTGAATGATTAATGACTTAGAGCAAGATAGAGCCTTTACGTGACTCAGGACAGGCACACATATACACATACGAAAATAAAAATTTCTCAAAATGTAATCACTCTAACTTTGGGTGTGGCCACACTGATGGGTCTCTCTCCTTTTCTGAGCTATGATGTGACATTTCACTTAAAAAATCCATGGCCAGCGCACGGACTTCATGACTCACAATTGGATTCACGCCGCCTTGTGGGCTCTATTCATAATCAGAGTGGAGTCCACTTCTCCAAGCTAAATTAGGGGCAGTCCAAAGGTGCCCTGTCACTTTCCGCACACCCCGTCCTCACTCCAGTCAAAAGTAAGGATGACTTGTATATATTAGCAAGCAATATGATGAGGAATCCTCCGCAGAAGCTCTGGTAAGAACACAGAGCCCTGCTCCCAGCCCCAGATGATAATTGGCTGTCAAACCCCCTTTGCTCTTAATGCAAGGGCTCCCCCTGGTGGCTCCAGATCAACCTACAAATGCAGAGGGAGCTGGACCAGGGGGCACTGGGAGCTCTGCTTTTCAATTTGGTTCAGGAAAGCTTACAATGGTAGGTCATAGGATGGAGCAGGCACTACTTATTGGTTAGCTCTTAGGTGGGGGTTTGCAGAGTAGCCTTAAAAACAGTGACTCTTGGAACTCTATAAGATTCCTTGTTATGACCTTATGATTCTCTAGGTGCTACTAAACTCAGTTTCCTCAATAGCCGTTTGCCTTGGGAATGCCAGCAACCACCTCTGAGTGTATATGTTCCTCATCTGTAAAACTAGGTAAGAGGGTTTGCATTGTTGGCTTAGGGATTAATGTATGTGAAAAAAATCTCCAGTTTGTAGCACTAAATAGGCACCAAAAATTCAGTTCCTATCTCCCTTTGCCTCTCCTCTTCCATTAACAGTGGCTGTGTAGAAGTCAAAACCCACATGCTCCCTTTGGATGTACAAATGAAGAAGTGGTGTTTTACTTCCCCATAACAATCCCCATTGCTGTAAGCCCCGGTGCCATGTAGCAGGTCCTTGCATCTAGTTTCATATAAGGAGAACTCATGCATCTTCCATAGGGAAAGGGCAGGGCAGATGGAACTGAATTTTTGATGCCTGTTTAGTGCTGAAAACTATAGAAATTTTCACGTACATTAATCCCTGAGACATGGTGGGGAGGGTTTAGGAAGTGAAATTTGGGGTTTGACCTCCGTGTAGAAAGAGCTCATTATACTTAGGAATAAGTAATTTGTCTGATTAAAGAAATATGACATCTTATAGATTCTTAAGGTGCTTTGGTGGCTGGCTGCTAGTTCAGGCCAGGATGCCTCTCTGTGATTTGCACTTAATCATAGACCCAGAAATGCCCTGCCAGGAACAGAGCCCCATACAAAGATAAACTTAGTTCTTATTTTGATCCTCATTTTCCAGGTGAGGAAACTGAGGCACACATGAGTCATGGTCATGGATTCTGGGTAACACAATTAGCAGGTGGAAGAGCAGACATCCCAGAGTTAACCCTCACAACCCCTCTGGTTGCTTCCATTTAAATTACAGAGGAATGCAGAATAATCAACTCAAAAATTTGGAGAGCATGAAGGGTTCTTGCAAGGATGTGTTTTTCCAAATCAATTTTTTAAAATATATTTTATTGATTTTCCACAGAAAGGAAAGAAGAGGGATAGAGAGTTAGAAATATAGATGAGAGAGAAACATCGACAAGAGAGAAACTTCGACCAGCTACCTCCTGCACACCCCCCTGCTGGGGATGTGCCCGCGACCATAGTACATGCCCTTGACCGGAATTAAACCTGGAACCCTTCAGTTGGCAGACTGACGCTCTATCCACTGAGCCAAACCAGTTTCGGCCCAAATTTATTTTGAAAGAAGTCAGTGAGAAAGCTTAGCAGATACCTGGGCTGAAGTTAGGCTCAAAATCTTCTAGACATTTCTGTCTTTCAAGCTCCTAGCCTCAGTTTGTTTCTCCTGGTATAGGAGGAGGATGTGACACACTCTCCAGGAAGGCCCCTTCCATTCCTTGGCATACTGAGCAGTAGAAATCAGCATTTCCAGCATATTCTCGATGCTTCCAAACTTTACTTTCAGACTCAGATACTGCTTGTAGCTTTTCATTATTTCCATTCATGTCTGAGACTTTTATTTCTTGGCAAACATATTGCTTACACTTTGCACCATAAGTAATCATTTGTAGCAGAATATGCTGATGTACAAGAGGATTTTAAAAATATCTGAAAACGGAAAATCACATGCATTCAACTCTTTTCAGCATAAACTTTAAGCATTATATATTACCTGATGACAAAGCTGGAGCATGTAGATTGATTGTCAGAATTAGGATGGTGCTGCTGGAGTAACCTATTATTAATATTAAAATTATTATTGGTTACATTAATCATTTCTGAGGATTTCCAGTGTAACATGTAATTTATCTATGTATAATTTATATCCTGACTACTTTCAAGAGGGAGAGAAGGAAAGAGGAGAGGAAGTTAGATTTATTGAGAGCCTATTGTGTAATGAGCTACACAGATTACATATATTTCTTTGGATTCCTCATGACAATGTGGTGAGATAAGAGATGTTATCCCTACTTGACAAGTGAAGAAAATGAGGCTCAGGAAGGTCAAGGTGAACCCCGCTGGACATACAGAATATAGCTAATTCTCCACTTGGACTCTGCCCTACCCCAATGTACTCTTCCTTCCGCCACTCCATGCTGCTCCCAGAAGGACTTGAGGGAGTGGATAATACAAAGCCAAGTGAAGTAGGATGGCTGAGAGAGAAGATATTAGCCATATGAGGGCAGGACTGATGGGAAGGTAGAAAGGGATGGATAAGCAGTGCCAAAATATGAGTTGATTACTTCAAGGTGTACAATCATTTAAAGATAAAATATTTAAGGGTAAAATTATATGGTTCAAGAAAGAGTCTGCTTCCTTTTCACCCAGTTTGTGAAAACTGTATCCAGCTTGTTTATCTTTTACCTTGAAGGAAGCTCACATCTCAATTTTGTGCTTATCTAAGTAATCATCTTAATAATGTGTAGTAAGAGCGTTCAGGAAGGATGCTAAGCAAGCATGACCAAGGCAAGTTGCTTTCCTGTTAGCATCCTATTATTAACAATCTGAGGACCTACTTTGTGCCAAGTGCTGTGCTTGGATATAGCAGCCGTTTAGGTTCTTGAAAGGAAACTGACTTCCTGTACTGATGCCAGTTACATTATGGATAAAGCACTCAGATGAAGTATTAAGATGTTTTCTGATCTGCTTATCTTGTCAAGATCAAAGGAAGACCACTCCTCTGTGTGAAGGAGGTGGATTTTCTTGGAAGTAGGGAGTCATTCCCAATATCAGCCACTCCCATTTCCCATCTACCAGAACAGTGGGTCCTTGAATGAAAAATTCAAGCTGGGACACCTCCCCCCTACTGCCACTCTCTCTTTGGGCCTTTTTTTTTTTTTTTTTTTTTTTTGGTTCTAGATGTCAAGGCATAGTAATAACACATCACTTCCATGATTGATTTTAGAGTACAAGAATATAGGAGTGATAGGTCTCTTCACAGAATCTATAGGTCAGTTGGTATGTGATTATGAATCATAATTTGGATACCTGATTTCTTATGTATTTGGGAGCTTTATCAAATAGTTAGAATTGCTTTTCTTGTGAGGAGTTAGGGAGGACTAGCTCTCCCCTCCACCCATGTACACATCCCCTCTTTCTTTAACTGTTCCCCTTCAAATGCCATGCTTATGTTTTGTAGACTTAAGACCCATGTGTCACCATTTTTGGGTGGTAGGAGTCAGATGGT